CACCACTCCAGTCCATCAATTAACATCTTGTAAAGTGAAAAGCTGTGTGTTTGTAAGCACACCTTGCCAAGTTGCCAGGTGTTTTGAGTGATTTTTAGTGCATTGTTATGCGGTTGTTCTGGTTGGTTGGTGTTTGTACGTTAATTCATATCATAAATGTGATCTCAGCTTATTAGTTCTCGGGTATGAAATCTACAAAAATGCAGTGGGTTTAGGCATCTTAAAAACACTGATTAAGTAAAAAATATCTGTGATTGTGTTAGAATCATGGTTTAAACACTTTATCTTTTGAAGATAAAATTCTACAGTTGTTACAAAATAAAAACACTTTAGAAAGTGTAACCTGTACTGCATCTGACTTGATTCTTCACATGTGTGTGGTTCATGGAAATTACTTCCTTATACCTCACACTGTGAGTCACCATTGGGAATCTCCACCTGATAACTGGAATGGTGCTCACACACATGAATTTCCCTGTTATCACAGTGGAATGTCAGCATTCGGCCCCCACACAGTTCCAGCCTGTTTTGACTCAGTATTATAAGTCCAGCGCTCATTCAAACTCTCAATACCAGCCACAGGACGGCCCTTGGAAGTCCACCTAATCCCTCTGAACTACAGGTGGCAGGAGAGATCGGCCGCCCCTGTCTGAAAAACTTCCCTCTTCCTCTCTCTCCATTGCTTTTCTCTCTCTCCTGGTTTCCAGTGAAGTGGTAATCCCCCATCTGAAAAGGAGATCCAAGCTGAAGTAAAGGCGTTTTGGGTTGGCATGCTACAGAAAGGGACCTGTCACATTGCTCCTCACAGCTCTCGGCCACAGTGGTAACAGGGCATCTGAACGAGAGAGCAAGAAAGGAGGAGAGAAGGAGACTTTAACTTTGTTTATCCCTCCAAAATTGAACGATTAGGGCGTTTTGTGTCCCACAGGAGTGCGGAAGACTGATTTTGGCTGCTTTTAAGTTATTGGAGCTCACTGAAACTACTGTTTCATCTGTAGGTTGGCACCATGAGTGCTGAAGCTGTGAAAGACTATGACTACTCAGAATGGTACGAAAACGCAGTGCCAACCAAACCTCCTGTCGAGTAAGTACTCTTCATTTGTGTTTATGGATGTGTTTCTTTATGGTAAATTTTCAAATTTAATCAAAACATTTCACTTAGATTTGTAATATATTTTTGCATTATTTTCACGATATCTACTATATATAGTTAAATATACTATTTTGTTTTTAGAATTAATTTTATAGTTAATTATATTTAAATGTTTAAGCTTAATCTTACAATCTACACACACACATATATGTATTTTATATATTTAAAATGTGTATTAAATTTATTTTTATATTAATTTTAAAAATCAATCACAACTTTGTTGTGATTCATTGTAAGTGGGGAAAAAA